GGGGGGGGGGAACCCACTGCCATTGAGTTGATTCCAACTCATAGTAATACCCATTGGGTTTCCAAGGCAGTAAATCTTTACAGAGTGGGTTTGAACCACTGACCTTCTGGTCAGCAGTCAAATGTCTTACCCACTATGCCACCAGAGCTCCAAAGGAGCTAAATGTGTCTATCTTGTATTTGCTGTTTCTAAACTAAGTCTTTCCTTGGAGAAGATGGGGCATATTCCAAATGCTCATATCCAGGACAGAAAAAAGAAAGGGACCAGTTCCCAAATAGCACATCTATTAACTTTCCTTTGCAAGTGGTATTGTAGAGGTCAGGAGCATGAACAGTGTTTTACTGAATGACATCAGAGATAGAATTGCAGGTTGGAGATCCATGCACACAACTTACTACTTGCTCCTTTTACTAAAAGACTTTTGCTCAGCCTTCTTCAATTTTTATTTAATGCTCATTAGAATCTTGGCCTACCCAATGACTGTAGTAAGCTCTCTCTTCTGAGGAGCTAGGCTTGTGCAAGAAATATAACAACCACCTATTGTTGTTGTTGTTATTTGCCATCGAGTCGGCCCCGAATCATAGCGACCCCTCCTTGGGTTTCCGAGGCAGTATCACTACGGAAGTAGGATTGACCAACCTTCCTTCCGAGGAGTGGCTGGTGGGTTTGAACCGCCAGCCTTCTGATTAGTAGTCAAGTGCCTTAGCCACTATGCCACCAGAGCTCCCAACAACCACCTAGGAGGAAGTAAAACCTTTACCCAGAGGTAGGAGGGACATGCTGGTGGTAGGTATAAATGTCCTCCACTCTGGAGAGATGAGAACTCCATCCTTTATGGAGACTTACCTACTGAAAATTTCATACTTTTTGTATGGAATTTTCTATTTTGGGGAAGTCCATTTACACCATAGTGTTTTTCTTGGAGGAGGTGGCATCAAATGACAAATATATGTTCTTTGAATGCCCACCACAAAGATATACTATAGGAAGAAATATTGCAGGATAATTTTATGAGATAATAATCTAAGGCATCCACTGCTTTTAAAAATTGTTATTGTTATTCATCATTGTTTCAGAGATGTTCGTTGCCTCAGGGAAGGATAAACCCAAAGAACACAGGATAAAAAGAAGTCAATTGAATTTCTAAAAGCTGAAATATTTGTCTTAAAACTAAAGCCATCCCTAACTTTAGCAAACTTTTCTAGAGAAAAAATCCTCTTTTAGTTTACAAAGAATGGTTTATGAATATGAAAAGCCTAAGAAATAAAGTATTTTATATACAAAATTTATAACAAACTATAGAGTTGGGAAGAATTCAGGGTTGTCTGCCAAAATAAAATAAGGGCATGTAGCTGTGTTTTAGAAGAACAGAGTCAGGAAAGGAGAAGACTGGAGTTAGTTGTCAGTGAAATATTATGACCTCATAATATTTTCCTACAATATTTCTCAAAGGAGAGACCTCCACTCTTGCTTCTCGCAGCTATGATCTTCTGTCAGAAGCTGATGAAAGCAGAGGGGGTCTGTCCCTCACTTCTCAGAGGGGTTATGGCTTCTTACAGAAGTTGTGAATCCAAAATGTCATCCAAATGACAGAGAAGAAATGGTTGTGTGACAAAATCATATGGATATTTTGAAGACAAATCAGTCTTATACACTCTATGACAGTGTCAAGGGTACAGCTAAATATCCAAGTGCCTTAAAAAAAAAAAAAAAAGCCTGAGAGAGGACCAGTGACCCTAGAGTGGTCTCAAGATGGTCAAGGGAGCACACAAAGTGCAAGGATTCCACTGATTAAAGAACACAGCAGCACTCTATGGATGCCAACAAAGATAGCCACTGAGGGTCATCTATTTCCACATAATCTAGTGTGGGCAAGTGGAAACAGCTATGGATCAGGCTTGTTTTCCTCCATGAACTTGATTGACTGACAAGGATAATGAGGAAAAATGGAGAAAGCAGACCCTTGAATTTCATTGTGCTAGCTAATAAAATGAGTTACTGCTAATTGCCTGACTTTACATGAAAAAGACTAGATGACTCTCCATTGGGCAAAATAAGAGATCAGAATTAGAAAATAGATTGAATTTCAGAAATTTTAAGTTAGATTTTTATGGACCTGCATGCATAGCCTACAAAATTTACAATTGTTTTACATATTTGATACTTCTCTATTTAAAAATTGTTCTACAATGAAAATACTGTGTATTCACATATTTTTTGTGCATATTTTGACAAATATCTCCATACTGTAGCTTTGATTTCCTCAGTAGCTACAACAGTTTTAACCATTAGAGTTTTATTCAACACCTATTTTTTCTCCCAAATTAAGTTTAAAACTTACCCTATGTTTTTCTTTCTTTTCTTTTCTGGATTTTTTTTTTTTTTTTTTTTTTTTGAGGTGAGGAACAATAAAAAGTCTTTTATTCCATTTCTATCTGAGTTGCTTCAATTTTATGGAAGTTTTAATGTCAAAACCTCTAATTGTTGACTGTTTTTTCAGCTTTGCAAAAGCAATTAAGTCATCTAACTTATCACAAAGTTATTGTGTTGACTTGTTCTTATTTCCATTTAACTCTCTTTCATTTCCATTGTGATCTGATTTACCAAAGGAAGGAAAGGAACCAATTACAAGGGCCTTCTCTATATTCCTTTTGGCTTCTCTTGAACTTCCCCTTGTCCATTTGTCTTCTGCTTTCCCTACTCTTTTATCACTGGAAGCTCAAATTTGGCTCTTCTAATTTTGTTTCTTTTCAGCCAATTTCATAGCATTGTTTTTCCCCAATAATCAGCTTCCTGAGTAGAATTGTCATCCTCTGATTCTGTTTTTTATTCTGTCCAAGAGGAAGACATTTTGTTCAGCTCCACACGGCCTTCTTCCTGTGGTTTATCACCAGCAGAAGCATTCCAGGCTGGTCTGTGAGCTCTGTTCACAAAGCCAGAGTCCTATGGCTCTTTCTTTATGGTTAGGAGTCTTTTCTACACACCTCCTCCCTCCATCCCCAATTCCCTTTTCATTTGAACCTCCACACATGGATGAAGTGAGCTGCTTGAAAATATCCATTCTAGAAGGCTCTAAGCTCATTCCAAAGCCATATTTTTGCTTTGCTTATCTTATTAAAAAATTGTATTTCTTCATAATATCCTTTCTAATAACCTTTTGTTCAAGAATCCAAGTGAAATTCAAAGAAGATTCAGTTGAGTGGTGATTTTATTGGGGTTTATATTTCAGCAAAGCAGACTGGTCACTTTATATTTAAACATAAGATAAACATGAGATCACACTCCGAACTTATAATCATTCCCTGGAATACAGTCAATGGATATCTATGGAGTAACCTGTAGTTTTATATGAACAAAGAGACTGAGGAAGTGAGAAACAATTACTAATGGCTAACTCCCAGATTCATTTTCACCCTGGCCCTGGCTATGATGTATGATACTTCAAAAAACACTTGAAACCCTGGATCCATAACTTTACCAATAACCTTCTATTTGGAAGATATACAAAATTATTTGGGCAGAGTTTCTCATCTTAATAAAGTGATTTTCGACCCATCACTCTGTGCACTGCATCCTGGACTTCTTTATTTCTCAAACTGTACACAACAGGGTTCAATAGGGGAGTTATGACTGTATAGGTCACTGAGATTAACTGATCTTGATCTTTGGTGTTCTCTGATTTGGGCTTGAAGTAAGCAATGGAGGCACAGCCATAGTGGATAATGACCACAGTGAGGTGGGAGGCACAGGTGGCAAAAGTCTTCTTTCGGCCTTCAGCCGAGGCAATCTTAAGAATGGTGGAAATAATGAGGACATAAGAGATGAAGAGGAAGATGGCAGGGTTGGTGACAGCCAGGAGGGTGATAATTAAGGTCAAGATATCATTGATGCTTGGGGTAGCACAGGCCAAGTCCAGCACAGGTCGGACATCACAGAAGAAATGTTCAATCAGGGAGTCACAAAAGGGCAGTCTGAAAATGACCACTGCCTGCACCAATGAAAGTGAGAACCCTATAGCACAGACAGAGGATGCCAGCATGGTGCAGATCCTCCAATTCATGATGACTGAGTAACGCAAAGGGTTGCAGATGGCCACATAACGATCATACCCCATTACTGCTAGCAGGAGACAGTTGGTGATGGCAAAGCCAAGGAAGAAAAAGAGCTGTGTCCCACAGCCCTCCAGGGAGATGGATTGACTCAAGCCTACAAGGCTAGAAAGCATACGGGGAATAATGACCAGGGAGTAGAAAGTCTCTGAAGTGGAGAGGACACTTAGGAAGAAGTACATGGGGGTGTGGAGGTGATGGTCAATATGGATAACAGTCACAATGATGACATTGCCAGCCAGAGTCAGCATGTACAGGGTAAGAAATACCACAAAGAGTGTGAGTTGATGGTCTTGGAAACTGGAGAAACCTTGGAAAATAAACTCTCTTATTTCTGTGTGGTTGGCTGTCTTCATTGAGTTCCTCAGGCTGGAAAGATAAAGAGATTATCAACAGCACCGATTGGGAGCAAAGACTGTGCTGATCTCTGGAGAGCACATCACACAGAGGAAAGATGTCCCACAGCAAAGACTTTTCTCAAAACTTCACAAATTGACTTCCTTTCCCACACAGACTGAATCCTTGGATCAAAAATAAAGATACAGAATATATTCAGAAACTTCATTGAAAAGTTTGATATAAAGTATCCTTTCTGAGTACTTGGGTTATATTAAAAATATGACCACATATGGCCCTAAAATTGGTCTAATTTTTTTTTTTTTTAGGATTGGTATCACATAGACCATATTCTGAGACTACAATGTGATTAAATTAGAAACTGTCACAAAAAGATAACTTGAAAAATTATAAAAGGTTGATAGTCTAAATAAGGTGCAAATAAATCATAATGGAAATTAGAAAATATTTAGAACGGTTTGCTAAGAAAAGAACTGCATACTAAAACATGTGCAACATTTAGAACAATTTATGGGGAAATTTACAGTTTAAAAAGGTTTTATTTAAAAAAAAGAGGTGGGGAGAGAGAAGAATTCTGGTAAGATAGAGGAATAGGCAGAAAGACTGCACATATCCTCTTCAACAAAGAAAAGAGGAACCAATTAATACAGATACAGAAGATAATTCTGGACCCCTGAGACTTGATGGGAAGGATATACAAGTGGACTAAACTCCAACTAGCAGAATTTGCATGAGAACACCAGAAAAGGAGACATATGGAGCTGCAGTCTGGCAGGGATCCTGACGGCACAGGCAGCTTCAATATTGCCGAGTGGTGGTAGGACCTAAGAATTAAAATAAATTAAAGTAAAAATTGGCCCTGCTAGCCAGGGACTGCACAGAGGACTGCTCTGGTGGTTGGGGAATAAAAGGGGAAGCAGCAAAGAGGAAGGCAGGCTGAGCTGTGGACTTTTGTCTATCTGGAGGGTGCAGCCATTTTGAATGTTTACAAGAAGGTTGACTATTTTGGTTATTTAAAGTGACAGTGTTCTCCCAGATTGCAGGGACTTAAGAACAGGCTTCAATTGCTGGAAACCCAAGGACGTTCCGGACCAGGACAACTCTTGTACCCCACACCCTCTTGGTGAATGGAGGTGTGGCCATCCCTCACTCCCACCTACTTTCTGGGTCAGCAGGAATTCCATCCCAGTCTCTGTGCTTGGATGGAGCCTGGGTGCCCTGCCCCGACCTGCCCCAATTTTTTTTCTTTTTTCTGTTTTTCAGTTTGTTTGTTCTTGTCTGTTTTAAAACTAAAATTATTATTATTACACTTGTCCTTCATACTATTATTCTTTATTCTTCCCCTCCAAGTTTCTATTTTTCAGCTTTTTTTCTTTTCCCTGTTCCTGGTTACATTTTTTTTTTTCTCTCTTGTGGTTAACCCCATACCTTGTTTTTCTTTTTGCATTTCTCCCATTTTTTTTCTTCACTATTCTCCTTCTCTACCTTTTTTCTCTTATTGCACTCTCCCCAGATATTGAGAGTTTTTATTTCTATTTTTTCCTATATTTTCCCTTTTTTGGTTCCTGTTCCTCTGTGATTACATGGTGTATTTATTGTCCATTTGCTTTTACTTTTTTGATGGCTATTCAATTGTTATTTTTGTCTAACTGAGAGGAAGGCAGGAACAGTCCCCATAAGACACAACAACACCCACACCTCCTGCAGCTTCACTTACGGAGTGAGAGCCACCACTTCCTTCTCCACCAAGAGGGCAATGATAAACAACCACCAAGAACAGCCTGACTCACCCTTGGCTGATCTTCACAAACAGTTAACAGAGATCTAAATACAATAATGCCATGATGTGTCAGAGACAACAAACCATCACAGCTCACACAAAGAAGCAAGATAAAGTGGTAGGAACAGGAGAGCAGGATACAGACCCAGAACACATCCCCGCAGAAGAAACAGCATTGGAACTCTCTGATAAGGTATACAAAAGGATTATATTTAGATATATTCAAAGGATTGAGAGACAGACCAAGGAAAACACAGAGAAAACCCTAGAAGAATTTTGAAAGAAAATACAAGAACAAAATAACAAAATAAATGAAAAATTAGAAATGATTCTAAATCTACAAATAGATATCCAGAAGATCAGTCCTAAATTGTCAGAAATAGATAACACATTGAAAGGGCAAAGGAGTAGAATTGATGTGATGGAAGACAGAATTAATGAGATTGAAGACAAATACCTAAATACGTCTTTGGAAAGGAATCAATCCGAAAAAAGATCAAAACAAAATGAGGAATCCTAAGATTCATGTGGCATACCATCAAAAGGAATAACCTATATGTCATTAGAATTCCAGAACAGGAAAAGAAAAAAGAAAACCACTGAGAAATCAGTCCAATATTTGTTGGAGGAGAACTCCCCTGACATGATGAAAGATGGAAATATATCCATTCAGGAAGTCCAATGAACCCCAAACAGGATAGACCCCAAAAGAAAATCACCAATACATATTATCATTAAACTCATCAAAACCGAAGACTAAGAAAGAATCCTGAAAGCAGCACAGGAAAAACAAAAAGTTACTTACAAAGGACAATCAGTGAGAATAAGCTCTGATTTCTCAGCAGAAACCATGCAAACGAGAAGGCAATGGGATGGTATATGTAAAACCCTGAAAGAGAACATTGTAAACCAAGAATTATATATACCCGGCAAAATTGTCCCTCAGATATGATGGTGAAATTAGGAGATTTCCAGATAAGCAAAAACTAAGGGAATTTGTTAAAACCAGACCAACCTTACAAAAGATGCTAAAGGGAGTCCTTTGAACAGAGAAACAAAAATAGAAAATAACAACCAACCATTAATACACAAGACAAAATAACCCAGAAACCACAGCTATGAACATATCAAAAGTAAAATAAATTTACAATATTGTAAGCAGGGAACCAGAGACATCAATTGGGAAGTGAAAACAACTACAAACAAAAAGAGGAAAAATACTGTGTAGTCACAGAACTTCTGAATGATGAGGAAGTCAAGAGAGTTGCAAGATAGAATGGACTGTTCTAATCTTGGGGAGAAAATTATAAATCACAAGGTAACTTCAAAGAAAAATGATGATAAAGCTTCACATCACAATAAAAAAGAGGACAAGCACAAATATTCAGCAAATACTAAAACAATGGCAACAAAGGAAATGGTAGCATGATTCATAAAAATATTGGGCTCAGCATGGAAAATAATATGGAACAAGGAAACCAGGGACACCATGAAAAAACACATAACAAATTGACAGCAATCAATTCGCACCTGTCCATAATTAAACTGAATGTTAATGAATTAAATGCACCACTCAAGAGATGGAGA